AACGCAATGGCAAAAAAAATCTTATTATACCAAACTTTTCCTTTTCAATTGAATGGTCCTTTGAAAAATTTGATTGTATATTTATTTGCTACAACTCATATAAAGCTTTCTTCTGTAATACAAAATGTAAATATGCTAGATAAGTTTACTTAAAGTGTGATGAGATGATTAAAGCTGTAAAGTTTCTCCTTGACAAAATCAATGAACGTTTTGACTATGTTGTTTGTCAAAAGGTTGTATGTATTCCTATGGGCACCAATTGCGCCCCATTAATAGAAGACTTGTTCCTGTATTGTTATGAATCACAGTTTATGGCCAAACTCAGTAAAGATCCGTCTAAATTTCATTTAATTAATATATTCAACAAAAACTACCGTTACAATGGTGAATTTTTAGCTAAAGAATCAAAATTCTCTAAATATACTACCGAAATTTACTCAAGGGAAATTACCTAAAGGAGTCTAATATATAAACAGCAATAACTGTCCTTTCCTTGATTGAGATATTTGGATTTCAGTTTCACACAGGAGACTCGATACTGAAATTTACGACAAAAAGTACAATTTTCTTTTCTTTTTTTTTAATTCCTTTTTTGGACGGTGATGTTCCTTTCAACGGGCCCCATCTTACGGTGTGTATATATCCCAACTCGTTCACCATGCTAGTATCTGTAGTGACGTTATAGATTTTTAATCGTATTCTATGTATATCACTGATAAATTTTTAAGTCAGGGATTTCGTTTCTATTAATTACTGAAAACCTTCACCACATTCTTTTATAGATACAAAGATTTGGTTTGGAAGTTCACCTGAACAAAATTGATAAAAACAGGATATCCTACTTCTTATGGTGATGTTGGTTTAGAGTTTTAGCCTGTAAATTTAGGTACGATACATGTAAACTTATCCATCCTAGGCCTTAGAATAAATTATTTTTGAACTAGCTTTCAGTATTCTCAGGTCGGTACTTTGTGTCTTTAGTGTTTTTGCATAGCAAGAAATTAGTAGTACTTTTGCTAATTAATATTCATAATATGTAAAATGAGAATTGTACCACGTGATAATAGTTTGAACTGGACTGGCTTGATATCATTAAAATCTTTAAAACACGGATATTATCGTATAAGTTGCCCGTCACAGAGTCCTTGTTTATAATAATCACTCTGATATTTCCGTGAAGTTGTCAGGCGGTCAAAATCAAAATAATGAACGCAAATTTAGTGAATTTTTTGTGTTTTCGTGAGATTATAATTCTTGAAATAGGGGCATTATAACTTTACGTGGGAACCTAGAGTTCAACGACTACACATACAAGGTTTGGACTTGCTTATTCTTTGGACATTCAAGTTTCAAGTTTCATCCCCGCAACCTTTTTGTGTTATGACCTTGTTAGCCAATTTCCAACACGAAGTTTGCAAATTTGACGTTTCAGCCATTTTAGCCTGTATTGTATACTACAATGTTAAAAGCCTCTCGCTTTGATTTTTAAAATAGCTCAGGAACCTTGATTTTTGCAACGACGGTCATTATGTTTCGTTTAAATGGTGTATATTGTTGTGTATATTTATTTTCTGTCCCCGCAACCTGTCTATCACTTAAATTAAAGTTAAAGCAGACATTTTTTTTCAAAATTCCCTATCATTTCAATATAATTTCCGTGACCCGTATCCAATTTCTTTAGTATAATATTCAAATAAGCAAAGTGGCGTTGATTTCTGGATATGGATAGTTGAGTTTTCTGCTTTATATTGATCTGATGAGGAAAGCCCTTTCAACTGATTTTAACGTTTGTTCTCATGTTATCTTACACAACTGAACGTACCATGTTAGGGAAGATTTGGGCGCAGCGCACGTGACGTTGTCAATGTAAACATGTGTGACGGTGGTCACTTTGTTTACTTGTTACGTTTATTATATTGGGGAAATTGGTTAAAGTTAGCATTATTTATAGTTCCACAAATATTTGTCCCGAGACCGGCCACGTAAATTCTCATCGGGTTACTTCCTGTTCTTGCACGTGCCTGATGTCCCGACCGGGCTCGTTGTCCCTAGGAACTATACATATGACGTCACTCACCGGGTCTTTGGGCAGTCTACGAGAGGATTTGAAATGAGCAGACGCTCATACTTTGGCTCGTACATTTTAGGCAACATGTAGACTAGCTACCACCGTACTTTTGTATCTTTTTATATGTCATTATTGTATGACTTGTATATTTCAACCATGTATTTATTCAAATAAACATTCTGTTTATATCGTAGTTTGTCCAATATCCCAGAACTTGGGTTAGACAACGGGAAGACAGCGAAGCCAGAAGGAAACTTCACTCCCGTTACATTGGGGGCTCGTCCGAGGGATATTTCAGGACAACTTTTATACAAACATTTTGTTTGTGCAGAAATTTCCACAATATGGTTGGAATTAAATGGATTTTTGAATCCCTAGGGCTAGGAGGCAAACTCAGACAGTTTATTGTCTATATTCTTGTCATTTCTCAAATTGCTGCCGTTCCTGTAAGGATCAGTACGGAATTAAATATTGTTTCATACAATAAAATGAATGAATATCACTTACCTTCATATTATGTTTATGTAAGTCCAGATGGAAAAATTGAATTTGGACCACAAAGTGAACATTGTTCACGTTCCCGGTATCACACGTTATGTGCATTTCAAAGGAAAACAAACACCACACGTGTTTAGAGATGAACAAAGAAAATTCACTAATTTAAGTGTATTTGATCGTCATCAAAAGCCAAATACATCTTTGCTAAATTCAGGAAGTCGGCGATGCATTTTTACGCCATGTTTACAAAATGACGTCATATTTAAGACGTCAAAGCACATGACATCTCTGGAATGTTAATTGGAAGTAATCATTGTCATTTCAATGTCATAATTAAAACACTGTTTTGTAGAGTTTTAATATTGGATCTGCTGATTTTAACTGTTACCATTTTGGATTATTGAAGTAAGTTTTGTACTTGTATTCTGTCCGTTTTGTTAGTTTTGTCTGTTATTCCTGTTTACATATTGTGGATTTAAAAAGCATATCTTGTGCTTGTTTCTCAAAGTTCGAAAGGAAAGGGGTACGGTTTCTCATGTTTTCAGTCGTTGTTGTACGTGGAATTGTGGTCATGGATATACATTTTATACTGGAAATTTGTCCGGTTTATATATATTCAGTTTAATTGCAAATAATTCTGTTTGCTTTGACTGTTTGTGGAGAGAATACTGAACATTTTCAATTTTTAGCTAATTACATTTGTAAATGCCTTCAGAGGTAGAAATTGTGGAGTTAGTCAGTATTTAGGATAAATGTATGACAATTTTGTCATACAGCTGGAATAGGGTAGTCTTATACGAGTTGTGACTAGAATAAAGATAATAGAAGAACGTACACTCATTATCTTAGCTGTTGTTGGAAGCTGCTTTCGGTGGTGTATACATAGAGGCAATTTTGGAAATACCTTAGGTGCTAGAGAATGGCGCGAGAATAGGTATATATGTTGCGTATACATTTTTATTGTAAACCTTAATTGGTTCACCATGGGTATGTTGTCCACATGGCTAAGAATATTGTTTTGGGGATTATTGGAATCCAAGGCATGATTTATGATATGATAGCACAATTGTTTTATATATGATATTGTATAATTCTTGATATAATTTAATAAACAAACAATCAGTTTGTATGGATTCCATTATCGAAATGTGTATAATATATATGTTTATAATAATACCATGGGCATATTAATAGTGCTTTCGGTGACATATCTATTTACGTATTGGGGCATCTGATCTTTGGTGCAGTGCACGTGTATAAGGACTTTTATAGACTCTTGGTGAGTCAGGACTTTATAAGAAGAATTGGCTTCTTTTGATTTATTCCAGTGTCTGGCAAAATATCGGAGGTTAAACTGAAATTATTTCAGTGTGTTGATAGCTGGCTACAGTGGTAAAAAATGGAAATGTATATTGGCTTTTTGCCGATTATTTGAAACGTAAACGATACTTATAACCACATGCAATTACCGTTCAGTTTTGGAACTGCTACCTTGGATTTTGATGTTTTATATATAGATGCATGCTATAGATGATCTATACCTTAAATGGATGCCATAAATACTTTACCTACCTGGAACCTTGACAAGATGTGTGTTTGGATGCTTGAACTTTATTTCTTCCATGATGATGTCCTGTGAGATGTATTTGTGACTGAACTTTTAATTTATAATCTTGAATTGATTATTAAGTGACAGTAACAGTAACGCAGCGATGTTAAGGCAATTTCGATAAGATTTTGTCAGGGGCAGATAACCCCGTAAGGACCTCATTATGTATTCATATATTCATTAATGGCGAAGATTCCGTAAGCTGCGTCTATCGATGAAACTGTATGAAATTCTGTTTATATCGTAGTTTGTCCAATATCCCAGAACTTGGGTTAGACAACGGGAAGACAGCGAAGCCAGAAGGAAACTTCACTCCCGTTACACATGAACGACCTCATAGAAAAAATAGCGATAAACAGATTATCAATGGTCTTTCAAACTCGATGATCAGTGTTTCTCAACCATCGATAATCTAAAAACATCAATTTGGTCTCTGATGAATAGTTGTCTCATAGGCAATCTTTCACATCTCCTTACTTTATCTTGAGTTGAAAATGTCTAGTTTAATTTGCAATACACCCTCGCCTGATTCTCTCACATGAAAAGACAACTGTTTCTTTCGATTAAATAATAAGGTTTGGTCATGTTTCGTTTCTTTTTTGTCATTAATTATGTCTTGAATGTGTCTAGTTTTTGTTTGTTTCCTAAATTTTTCTTTGATCTCTTTTCTCTCATATTTTTTCCCTTTCACTTTTCTCCCTTCACCCTGTCCTCCTCCTCATGGACTTTTAATGTGACATGTTAAAACCACGTCTTGCTTTTCTTTATGGAAATGCCTGCAGCAGGAGTGTGTGTAATTGTTAGATCAACCAATCAACAGCCTGATTGACAGTCAGTGCGATTTTATGTGATCGGAAAACGGAAATCAGGTACCCGAAAAACGTGTTGATTATGTTCATATGTGTAACAAATTATTAATTAGGTAAGCCAACATCCTCAAATACACTATTTAATAAGAATCTAACCAAATAATTATGCCTGCGAGCGTATCGATCAACCTATCGAACCGGTTCCTTTTTCAGATTCAAAAAGTTTTTGTCTTTGTGTTGACTTTTTGGATTGCAGGTGTTCGAAGTATATTTCGCCGATTATCTGATACAAGCTTGATATAACATATTTATAACTGTATCACACAAACATATTATGATAACAATTTATGATATTCATTGCGACACAACATTCTGAGAAGTCCAATAATAAATATTCAACTTTGTTTACAAATTTTCACCTGAAGCCGCCATGTTTGATTTCGAATTTACAGGTTGAGTAGACTAATTACTAAGCACATCATCTAATGACATAAGCATTAGTCATTTGCTGTGCAGGTACAAACAAGACAACATTTAATTGACCATAAGCTATATGCATCTTTTATTTCAGCATTATAATTTTAAGTAATCTTAGTAGGGGAGAAGTAAATAGAAAAATTATCTCCCTTTTGCAAATAATATTCACTTGTCTGTAAAAGAAAACCACTCGTCCAAATTTCCAAACTAACATAAAAGACACATCATTATATTGTAGTAAGGTTTTCATTTCTCCAAATTACCACTATAAATTAACCCAGCATAAGGTTGCCCTGTACATCTCAATCATCCTGAACACGGTACCTCGAATGACCAAATAATACTTGTAATGACTGAATAACACTTGAAATTTTTTTTACTGTGGGTGTTGTCACAAAAAGAATGGTTAGTATTGTATTCACATTTAATGGAATTGAATAGCAGATGGCTTTTGCAGGAACAACTACATGTAACATTTATATATTAAACAAATCAGCGAGGCGCATTAGTATTCAAATTTTTACGGTGCGGAACCTAAAAATATCTGAAATTTGAAAAAAAAAGCTGACCACCTCCTAAAATGGAAAGGTGGTCGGCTTTTAAAAGAAGGTGGTCGGCACACCCAGCTTAAATGCCAAATGGAAAACACTGGTTAATATGACCAAAATTGTCAATTGACCCCTTAAGGAGTTATTGCCCTTTAAAGACAATTTTACACAATTTGTTCATCAAGTTTGCTAACATTTAAAAATCTTCTCCTCTGAAATACAGGTGAGCGATTCAGGCTCTTGAGAGCCTCTTGTTTACATTGTAGCATGTTTCTGTATGTGCTGGCCCCAAGTCAGGAGCATGTAGTTCAGTGGTTATCGTTGGTTCATGTCCGTCGTATTTGGTTTTTTGTCTCGCTTGATTGAGTCGAAAAGCGAGACATAGGTATGCTGTTTCCGGCAATGGCGGCGGCGTCAACAATGTATTAGTTTGTGATTAGGTCTAGTTTATGGTGAACCACTAGTGGTAAGTCAATGATATTTGGTATGCAGTTGTATTGGTATTGGCACATCTCATTACCATGGAGATTATTTGGCCCTGCCCCCTCAGTTATGGTCTATTGACTTTGAAACTTGCTTAGTTTTCATGTATTAGTTTGTGATTAGGTCAGTTTATGGGGAACCACTAGTAGGAAGTTAATGATAATTGAAATGCAGTTGTATAAGCATTGGCATATCTCATTTCCATGGAGATTATTTGGCCTGCCCCCTCAGTCATGGTCTATTGACTTTGAAATTTTTGCTTAGTTTTCATGTATTAGTTTGTGATTAGGCAGTGTTCTCCCCAGGATTTTTGGATAGCACCAGGGTAACGTGTGTCAAAATGATTTGTACAATATGTCGTGTCGTGTCGCGTTGCATCGTTTTGTTTTTTTTTCTTGTTAGTTTTTGTGTCATTACCTTTTTGTCTTTGTTTTGTTTACTGTGTTATGTAGACTTTGGGTCAAAAAATTACTGGTAAAAAAAGAAGTAAATCAATAAACAGTTTGTATACTTTAATTTCTTTTAAGAAGAAATAAAAGAAAGCACTATTAGTCTTTAAACTCAAGTCACTTTTTATATTTTGATCAAGCCAATTTTGTCCTGATACTTGTGGTTACACTACACATTCCCCTTTTTTGTTAGATTACACCATAACAATTAAATTTAAACAAGATTAAATTTTAATGCAGAACCTTTAGTAAATTAAAAACTATTTTCCATAGCTTTAGACATGATTCTTTTAAACAACAATACAATTATTATTATAATCATTATTGTGTTACTTGGTAGACCGACTTGAAGAGTAAATTTATATCATCTATCTGTACACCCATGTATCATATCTAGCTGAGTTCCAATTGAGGACTACTTTAACTCAAATCAGTTACAATATGGAAAATACTACCTATTCATTATAATATGTCTGTGCATTAATGAAAGTATGATTATCAAAAATAATTTGCAATATATTTTTGTTGGTATGTTCAAAGAAAGTTTTTATCCTTAAGGTAACATTCTTATATAATTTTGCATTCAATTTGTACTTTATTTCTATTTTCAATGATAGATAATATTTTAGGAGCACTTATTTGTAATAAGCTAAATCAGGGGAAGTAACTCCAACACGTTTAAAATACGCAAATTATTTATGACCAAAGGCTGGAGTAATAGAGTTATTTAACAAATGTCTGCTTGTCCCTCACAAGTCTGATCATTAATTATGATCTCTTAATTAATTAAAACACAAAAGAATCATGTACATCGATTAAATCCAATCATCAAGGTTAACCTCAACAGGTAAATCGATTACGTGGTGTAGACAAGCTAGTTGTAAGAACTGGATTGAACTGGTCAATTTTCATCTGAAATTTTATACCCACGGAAAAGGTTTAACAAGTCGTTTAAAACTTTACCGATTTACGATTTTTTTCCCGAAAATTTTAGCACCACGGAGAAAATTATACATCGCGGCAAGAACGATACCACCATGGTAGAAAATTATACATCGCGGGCCCGCGGTCCTTTAGTGGCCTGGGGAGAACACTGGATTAGGTCAGTTTATGGGGAACCACTAGTTGTAAGTTGATGATAATTGGTATGCAGTTGTATAAGCATTGGTATATCTCATTTCCATGGAGATTATTTGGCCCTGCCCCCTCATTCATACATGTAGTCTATTGACTTTGAAACTTTCACTTAGTTATCATGTATTAGTTTGTGATAAGGTCAGTTATGGGGAACCACTAGTGGAAGGTCAATGATATTTAGTATGCAGTTGTATTAGCATTGGTACATCTCATTACCATGGAGATTATTTGACCCAGCCCCCTCAGTTATGGTTTATTGACTTTGAAATTTTGCTCATTTCCATGGAGATTGTTTAGCCATGTACCTTCAGTCATGGTTCATTGACTTTGAATCTTTGCAAAACTTACATGTTAAAGTGTTGCTGTTTTAATTTCAACATTTGCATTATTGAAATTACAAAAAAGCGAGACATATCTCTGTGATAACAGTTTATGTAAATTATTTTGTTATGAATTAGGCCATTAGTTTTCTAAATTGAATTGTTTCATATTTACATGCCGTGGCCTTTTATAGTCGACTGTACAGTATGGGTTTTTCTCATTGTCAGAATGCTGTACTGTTGCCTATAATCGTTACAATCTACTTCATTTGAACTTTGGTGGATAGTTGTCTCATTGACAATTATACCACATCTTCTTATTTTTATATTTTTTTGTGTTGTAGGTAAACTATTGCTTCACCAGATGAAGATGTAAACAATGCCTGCAGGTCATTATGACCCTCAGACTTCTTACAATGGTGACGATTCTGCAGCTAGCATTCTAAAAACAGTACAAGCACAGGTATGTACTAGTCTACACATACATAAATGTTGAGAGCACTCAAACCACCCATACATAACATAACCTTTGGACAGTTGTGTAACACAACTGAAGAACCAGGGACAGTGGTGTTACAACACAGTCTTCACGCTTAGCCACAGGCCCAGCAGCCCAGGCTTGTAAAATTGTTTTCGGCCTTTAAAATTCATCACTTCAGGCCAACAGAATTTAACAAAAAAATATCAAAAAATTGAGGTCTGGTCCTGTAGATTGATCATGAAGACTAAACACATAAGAACCAACTGTAAACATTAGTTTGAAAGGGCTTGAATCATCTCCATAGATGAACATTTAACCATGGAGGAACTTGCACTAGGACAAAACATTGGAAATTATAATCAAAATTATTTCATTCCATTTTTATGGCCCCCGCCACTTTACAGTTGTTGGGGCCGTATACATTGTACTTGTATAAAGTTTTACCCTTGTCTGTCATTCTACAAAAAACAATAAAACAGACTTTTTTTCTAAATGCCTTCACATATAAAGTTGATTCTTAGCTCACCTAGCTCGAAGGGCCAAGTGAGCTTTCCTCATCACTTGGCGTTCGTTGTCGGTAACTTTTACAAAAATCTTCTCCTCTGAAACTACTGGGCCAAATTTAACCAAACTTGGCCACAATCATCATTGGGGTATCTATTTTAAAAAATGTGTCTGATGACCCCGCCTGCCAACCAAGATGGGCGACATGGCTAAAAATAGAACATTGGGGTAAAATGCAAGTTTTGTCTAATGTTTAGAAAACTGTTATAAATAGAGAAAATCTGATGGCCAAAAATGTTCAAAATATTGAGCTCTACCAATTGTCCTTAAATGACTAATTTTATCATTTTTTTAAAAAATTTTGCCTACTATCTTGAAAACTATAATAGATAAAGAGAAACTTATATTGCAAAAATGATCAGCAAGACAAGTTCTACAATTAAGTCTGCATGTTTGAAAACGTCAGTCAACTCCTTATTAGAGTTATTGCCCTTTGATGACCATTTTTTACCAATTTTTTTGTGTTTTTGCTTTATATCTTAAAAATTATAATAGATAGATAGAAACTTAAATTAGCAAAAAAGACCAGCAAGACAAGATCTACAGTTAAGATGGAATGGATTAATTGTCCGACAACTCCTTATTGGAGTTATTGCCTTTTAATGACGATTTTCAATCGTCTGTTAACTTTTACAAAAATCATCTCCTCTGAAACTACTTGGCCACAATCATCATTGGGGTATTTAGTTTGAAGAATGTGTCCGTTGACCTCGCCTGCCAACCAAGATGGCAGACATAGCACAAAATAGAACAAAGGGGTAAAATGCAAGTTTTGTCTATTATTAGTCCCCTACCGAAGAAGTCGAAGGGGACTTTAGGTTTGCACTCTGTCTATCTGTCAGTCCGGCAAATCAGTTTTCCACACTTTTTTCTTCATGCTTGAAGATATTAATTTGATATTTGGTGTATTGTTTTATCATGACAAGTTACAGATCAAATTCGAATTTTGTTCATGTGTGATGATTTTGTGCAGAGTTATTGTCCCTGAACTTAAAAAATTCATTCATAAATCAGTTTTCCGCATTTTTTTTTCGTCATGCTTGAAGATATTGATTTGATAACTGCTATATAGTTTTATCATGACAAGTTACAGATCAATTTCAAATTTTGTTCCGGTCTTATGATTTTGTGCAGAGTTATGGTCCTTGGACTTAGAAAATTCACTTAAATAAACAGTTTTCCACACTTTTTTGCGGTCATATATTGGTATCACGTCGTCCGAAGACACTTGGTTTTCGGACAATAACTTTAGTACTAGTTAATAGAAATCTATGAAATTTAAACACAAGGTTTATAACCACAAAAGGAAGGTTTGGATTGATTTTGGGGGTTATGGTCCTAACAGTTTAGGAATTAGGGGCCAAAATAAGTATTTTTCTAGTTTTCAGACAATAACTTGTGGAACGGTGTATGGATCTCTCTGAAATTGTACAACAAGTTTCCATACCACAAAGGGATGGTTAGAATTGGCTTTGGGGGTAATGGCTCAATCCGTTTAGGAATTAGGTGCAAAAAAGGGGAAAAAACAAGGGTTTCCTTGTTAATGGACAATCACTTTTAAGTACAATGTTAAATTTGGATTTACCTCCAAAAGAAGATTTTGGCCAATAAAAAAGGGGGGGGGGGGTGAAATTTTTCGCAACAGCATAGTGTATCGCACTAAAGAAAAAAAAAAGGGGGGTACATTTTTTTGGGGGGGGGGGGGGTAGAATTCGCAACAGCATAGTGTATTGCACAAAAGCAAAAAATTGAATATAAATTCAAATCATATAACCAATTCTAAGTTCTTTGACTACAGTTATTCTGTGTCAGAAACCTATTATGTGTCAAACATTTAATTTCAATCCAAATTCAGACCTGTATCAAGCACGAATATTGTGTCCATTTTTGCCCCAACTGTTCAGGGTTGGACATGTGCGGTCGTATCAGGCTGTGCTCAGCGAAGCAATTTATTTTCGTCATGCTAGAAGATATTGACTTGATACATGTTATATAGTTTACACCATGACAAGTTATAGATCAAGTTAGCATTTTGTTCCAGTACGATGAATTTTAACCGGTAGGGGACTATGTATTGCTATGCAATACACTGTACTCTCAGAATGCTTGTTTCGAAACTGTTATAAATAGAGATAATCTGACAAGGGCAAAATGTTCAGAACGTTGAGCTTTACCAATTGTCCTTATGCTTAAAACTGTTAGATGAAGATAGAGAGAAACTAAACAGACTAAATGATCAGCAATACAAGATCAACAAAACAGATTTTCATCATGAATTCTATTCTCCTCTACAATTTTGGAGAGTGTCCTTTGTTGAATATGTACATAGACCAAGGTGAGCGACACAGGCTCTTTAGAGCCTCTAATTTGTTGAGCTTTTTCATTGGGGAAAAAGGGATATTGGATGGATTTATCATGTTCATACAAACTTTCTTGATGATTTTTTTATTACAACAGTTTAACATACATGTAAATAGCTAGAATCATCTAGCATGATTTACCATGCACATTGACACTGTAGATTGGGAAACATTCCATGGCAGAAACAGCTTCTTGCTAAAAAAAATTCAATTATTGAAAACCTTATGACATGAATTATGACCATTCACCTTAACTATTAGTAAACTTGTTTTGTTCCACAAATAAATCATTAGAATAAGTGACAATGTTATAAACAATTAAGATGTTGTAGTACAGCATACATGTACATCTAAAAATGCAGAACAAATAGTCAGTGTGCTTTTTCAATTCAAGATCATGTGTCTTCTTCCTGAAAAAATTACATAATGAAAGATTTCATGACTAATTTATGACAGTCACCTAAATTATTTGGTTGATTGAATAAGGACAATGGTTAATAATATATTATAATGTATGTTCAAATTTAATGTGTAGTACATGAATGATATGCAGGTGTAATCATGATATTTACATGACTTTTGAATTTCAACAACAAAAAAGAGTAAATGTCTTAGTATATATAAGAAATTTAAAAACATTGTATATATATGCATCATATATCTGACACATCATGATCAGTAATTAGATTTCCATCTACATATATAACATGTACAATGTTTTTCAAAAGCAAATCAACATGCTTTAAAGTGTCAAATACAATTTACTCATGTTCACATAATAGCCTCGGTTTAAATTTCCATTGGTGCAGTTAGACAAACTACATTTAACAAATAAAATGTATTTTCTAGAGCAGCTACATTGTATGTCTAAAAGTGTCAATTAATAGGTTGACATGTCAGCCTCTGGTTTAAATTTCCATTCATTGGCGAAGTTGTACAAACTACATACATATGATATAAAACATGTAATTCTAAATTAGATATGCTTTAAAGGGTCAAATATAATGTACTGAGTGCGCATGTCAGCCTCTGGTTTAGATTTCCATTAATTGGTTCAGTTGTACAAACTACATATAACATGTATTTAGAATAACATGTATTTCTAAATACTTGTTAGAAATTAGTGTCAGACACTAAGTTCCCATGTTAGCCTCTTGTTTAATCTCTATTAATTGATGCAGTTGTACAAACTATTAAATTTCATTTCTTTTGCTTTGTCGGTACATGTATTTTCTCACGCTGTAATATGATTTCAATAATTTATTATTAAAACGAACACGAACAAATTGTGTAGGAAATGATGTAAGCTAATAAATAGTGGAACAGTCACTGACATTCCAATCATTATGTATTTATAACACCTGAATGAGCAGCTCTGTGAGTCAGTTAGGAAAAGGGTTTTACCTGTAAACACTGTTTTTACCTGTAGTGTAAATTAAAAAATCAAATAAATTCGATATAATTTCAGTAATATTTAAATCAAATTGAACTTGTATCAGAACATTAAAATTTTATAGGTGTAAAAACATTTATATATGTTTATCTTGACAAACTTCTTTGAAGTGCTGATAAAAAATTTCCTTTTTTGAACCCTTATCAAAGGACAGAAAAAATGACAACACACATTTGAATACACAATACCTTGAACTCCCACAAAATATTTGTGAACTCATACACCCAGACACATTCTCCTCATTGTCCTTTTGTCTAGGTCGTCGTAACATGTAAAAAATGTAAATGTACAATTGTACATGTACATAAATCAGTGCACATATATCTGGATATTATTGGAATGTAATTAAAGCATTTTATTGATATACAATATACATTGATTCATTGTATTGTGACAGTGCATGTATATTGTAAATTAGTGAGTTACTATTCATGTAATCCTTTGTGGAAAAAAATATATCTAACAGATATTCAGAAACAGTTACATGTAAGAAAATAAGATTTATTGGAAACTTTGTGTAAACAGAATAAGTTGGATATATGACAAAGTATAATATGAATTAAAATATTTGGATATGCATTCATATATTTCATTTGTGGATTCAAAATAATTAACCAGTGTGTGTGCTTTGCTTGTGGATTAACATTCAAGTTATGGATTATTAATTTTTTAGGAAGCAGAATTTGAAAGATTAACCAGAAAATTAGAAGCAGAAAGAGAAACTGTAGGACATAAATTTGGGGAGGTGAGTAAAGAAAAGATCACAAGAATAGATGTATATATAGAGATAGGCCATGGAACATCACACCCCAATTCTTCTTTAAATCCTGGATTGTCTTGTCTTGTTCTCTGATGGTTTCTATCAACTACAACTCACTGTTCTCCCCAAGGCTTTTTAACATCATGGTAATGTGATGCAATGTTAATTTATTTCCTTATAGATTGTGTTTAAGATGTGATGCTATAATTTCTAGTAACAAGATGGTATTTCAAAATTCCAAGTAAAGCAGTATACTGTCACTGGAATGATTTCATCATGTTCATATAGTAATGAAATGAATGTCACAAGAAATGGAAGGTGATCATACCTATAAAAAGATGCTTTAATAGAGTTAAATATATACAATTGCAGACTGCTTGAATTGTTAGGCCTTCAGAATTTTTATTTATATTTATGTCATGATTGACTTCTAATTTGACCCAAACACTGGGAAAGCCATTTGGTTAATGCGCCTGCTTATTATCTAGAAGCCTGGAATACATCTAAAAATATGGACTATGGTTAAAAGATAACCAGTAATCTCTAAATATAGATGTTTGACAAAGAATTAGATGTTTGACAGGGAATTAGATGTCCGTCTTTAACTTTAGCTGTTTGCTGTATTTTTAGACGTTTACCGTAATCCCTCTCATACTCTTAGATAATGATGTCCCTTTAAACTCGTGTGAACGATAACGTGTGTATTATAACGTTAGCTATATATAGTATTGAAATGTTCCAGTTAAATCAATGCACATGATTTATCTAGTTTGACGGGAATTACCTGTTCGTCCGACAAAACTGATGTGTATTGAGTTGTCAATAATAAAACCAGTGATGCGTGAGCGACGGTTATAAAAACATTGTTGTAAGGAGATGAATACATAAACAATGTTTACAGAATCTGTTAAAACTAACCATCTTATTTCCCTTCGTTTAAACGATGTTTTTTGAAAATATAGTTACCTGTAAATTAAGACAGAAACAGATAATATAGATCTATGAGTTAGATGGTTATAAATATTTTTTCATGGAAGCTTTTATCAGTGTTGCAGGTTTTTTATTTTTGGCCATGGCGTTGTCAGTTTGTTTTCGATCTATGAGTTTGACTGTCCCTCTTGTATCTATCGTCCCTCTTTCGAACTAAGGGGAAAGATCGACATACAAATACGAAACGCTTTTAAGCATGGCTTTCCTGATGAATTAAATATCGAATTTTTTCATTGGTCAATAATAAAAATCTATTTAAATACAACCAATGGACAAGATGAATACACGTGGTAACTTTGTAATACACAACTACAAATTTATGAATGGAAGTGGTTTAATCAAATTAAAGGTTCAAATTGACAAATGTGATTAACTGAGTTTTATTTCTATTTTTTGTCAATTGTCAATAGCCTATAGTATATTCATTCTACAACAAAGGATGCCGTTATAATCGATAAGTATGTTTCAGCTGGGAACAGTATCATGAATATTTATTGACAAATCTTGTGTATTGGAGGTAAGGGGTACCCTAAGGGTAAATACAATCCATACCATCTGAAAGAAAAACTTTTCACGAATCGAATGGTGTATGGAACAATAAATTTGAGAATGAATTGACAGCAAAATAAGGGTTTGAAGCGGAGAGGTGAAAAAAGTAGTTGGGTACCTTCTCGTACATATACGTTGATAGTGGGGCTTCCCATGGATAGAAACAAGTGCCTGTGACCTTGTCATATATCAATAAACAAAAACAGACCATGAAACCAAAATTAAAGATTTGTTTAGATATGTATATATGCGAGTGTGGGTGGTGGTGGTGTCATGTATTGGGGATGATGGTGGTCGTGGAGGGGGGGTCAGGTCTTCATTTCTATATCTTTTCGTTATTTTTGGATCCATTTCTTTCTACTCTTTTATTTGCTGCCAATTGTCCTCTATTCTTTATAGTTCATCACACCTTTAATCTGTTTTCTATATTTTTTGGGCACATTTTTTTCTAGTCTTTACTTTTTGACCATTATTCTCTAATCTGTAAACCCCATGCATACCCTCATTCACGGTAAACCATTCATACCCTCATTCATGGTAACCTATTCATACCCTCATACATGGTAATTAAAACAAGAAAAAAATGTGTATACACATATTACTGTACTATCATAGAAAAAGAATGGATATTGGGTATCCATCCACGACACAAAATCAGTACAAAAAAACACACAACAAGCAAAGGAACAGCGCTTTTATTGCTGTTCTTTATCTCAAATGTGAGTAAAGGTTTTCTAAAAGTACAATATCATTTTATTAATGATATATATATATAAGGCACAGACCATTCATGTTTTGTGGAGGGGGACTTAAGGTTTTTTTTTTAAGACAAATCATTGGTTTCCATAAAAAAAAATAAAGGGGAAAAACACGACATTCAGTTTAAAAAAATGCTGTATGCATTGAAAAAAAAATCGTTTGTTGTTTAATAAAGTCCGAAAAAGACTGTTCTGGGAAAGACACATTCCCCAGAAACCGTATACAATGTGAATGTTTGGAAATAAAGACGTATCTCATATCGATACTAACATTCCTGACACTAAACATCTATTTTTACATATTCTTTTCAGAACTATTTTAGTTGGTAATTTCTTTCCTGATCAGAAGATTTCTCTTGTTAATCGATCTTGATCCTGTAATATTGTATTAGAAATCAATAAATATATTCGTATTAATTCCAACATGGAAGTAATATTGAAAGGAATAACAACGTCGTCACTTCAAAGGTTTCATCTGCGTTACCGCCCATCTTTCGATAACTCGTTAATTGGTTTAATATATGGCATGGTAATTGACTCTCGGCATGTGATAGATCAAATCACTGACACTTTTCGGTCATTTTCGTGTTTCCGGAAAATTACGAATAGACCAGTTGTTGTCGTATGTACGTACGAAGTAACCCGAATAGTTCACTCGTTACATTCCGCTGCTGTACGCTACCGAATAGAGTCAGTCGTTCAATGTTAATTTTAGTCTATTTTTCCTATTTATGTCTTTTTCGATCTTAATAGTTTAGGCCGACAGTTATCACATATTGAATTTAAGAAAAGGGGTGGATCATTTTCAATTTTAATACTTAAAACCAGTTAATTAAGAAGCCATTTCTGAAAGTTAAGAAGATGATTGTACAAAAAATATTTTTCGACCCCCTTTTATTAAATACGAATAATCCAAGTCTTCCGTGTATACCAGGCAAATTAAATATTCACAATTTTAAACGTTTCTATTCTTTAATTTGTACATAAACAAATTCATATAAAATAAATTTGCGGTTAGACAGATAGCGTCAAGCTCGTTTTGTATGGTTGATTTTCTTTTTGCTGTAACGTGCTACATTAATATTAGTATTCAATTGTAAACACTTTTTAAAATAGATATAAATTTAACATGTTTACGAACTTATGATCCCGATTTTAATTGTCCAGTTTCAATAACGTAATCAATTACTTGAAAGTAAATATTTTTATAAATCTCGATAAACTTGGCACATTTCAACAGTAAAATATTCTATGTCTACATCTGTCTACATTATTTTGTTCAACATCATGTGAAACCTGATCGATTCATCGGTATTTAACTGTTTTACTCGGGATCCGCTTTTAACCGGAAAATACTTTTAGAACAGTTTAAAACAAACGGTAAAAAGCAAAAATATGCTAAATTAAGTACAATTTTCCATGCTAAACTGTTGTAGGTTGAACAATTCTCGTCCGTTTTTCAAGTTTTTTACATCATACGACTTCTTTCTGAAGGTAGAGGTTTTATATGATACAGCGCCACCTTCTTATTAATAAACCTCGGATTTCACACAGGTGCTTTATAATTACCGGACTCGATAAAATCACGTGACTGAAAATTCCAGATGCCATTTTAGAACCGCGGTATCACAGATAGTAACCAAAGGGGTCTTGCCGCTGAGACTATAATTGGATAAAATCATATGACTTTAGTACAGAGCTCTGCAGGCTGTTAATACATGCTAATTAGTCGTTGTTATTCCTTTTAAATATTACTTCCATGATTCCAATAAGCATGTAGTTTACATAAATGCTTTTGGATATAGACATTACACAAAGGTGTCAATATTTACACACCCATCGATAAGTTGTCATAAATCACGCATGTTGAAGCTGGGGTTAATTAACGACCAGTTTAGGAAGTCAGATCAAGCTGTGTGTGATTTTAGATCTAGATATCTAGATGAGCAGATACAGTAGCAATAAAACTATGTTAGAAAATTTTTTGGTGACCCCGACTGGGGGAGGGGGCACGTGCCCCCTAAGCCCCCCGGTAAATCCGCCACTGCAATGAGACAACTCTCCATCCAAGTAACAATTTATAAAAGTAAACCATTATAGGTCAAGGTAAGGCCTTCAACACGGAGCCTTGGCTCACACCGAACAGCATGCTATAAAGGCCCCCAAAAATTACTAGTGTAAAACCATTCAAACGGGAAAACCAACGGTCTATAAATCTATATAAAAATACTATGTTCCAGAGTCAGCTCAGTAATGTGTACGTTGACCAATACTCGGCCCCGTCCCCTTCAGAGTCTGTAGCCCCATATTTCTTAGTAACTTAAGATAATCTTTTTTATGAAATGGTGTGTTTAACATAGGCGGGTCCAGGAGGCCCCCCCCCCCCCTCATTTGTGGGGAAAATTTATTACATAGGGAATCACTGAGACACGACTGGAGCCCCCTTCTAGGACAGTCCATGTCCCCCTTTATGAGCATTTCTGGATCTGCCACTGTATAATTACATAATTCGTTCTTGTTATTACGTCCAATTAATATTCTCTTTATAAATGTCATGTGACCGAAACACAAAATGGACAAAGTTGTATACAGACAAACCTGGGTAAACCGGACCCTGAAAACACCGGATTCCTGTCTATTCCGGTCCCAATATTTTCCTTTCATAACCTTTGCAAAAATACCCTCTAT